TTCATCTAACTCTCCTAAAACCAAGTCGAGAAACTTCACGTTTTTATATTTCACGGCGGCGAATGGCCCTTTTAAATTGATCTTCATCACATTAGATACTTTCAGATTTGTGAAAGCGAATTAAACAAGTAAGAAGGAATTGCTTCGTTTACGAACCAGTTTTATAGAACTTTTTGATGTTTGCGCTTGATAAAGCACTCGACGAATGTGCCTGTTATTTTGCCATGTACCCACTCTCTCCCAAAATTTGAAATCGCTGACTTGGAATTACGTATATAATTTTTTGGAACCAGCTGTGTTTATTCAATTCTTCAAGTAGTTGAAACCGTCGGGTTCCGAAAGATCTCCACGAAGTAAATCGGCTGGAGATCTATCTTCGACCTTAGGCAGGAAACGATAAGTATAAACGATCGTAAATCAGCGTTCGACTAATCCGTTTAAAGGAGATGAAAAGGCGCAGTTGTAATATGTTTGATACTCAATCTGTTCAAAAAGTTGTTCAAAGTTTCCGATGTTAATTGAGGACCATTACCTCCATTCTCAGTATACCATGAACAGCAAAGATTAAACGTAAGTCATTAAAGGTACCATCTGTCGTTGTAGCGTGCATCGTACTCACACAAGGAAATTGGTAATAGGCATCGTCGCAAATGAACCGCATTGAATTGAAGATCAGACCGGCAAAGCTAACGTGAATACGTTACCAGCGGACTATTGGTTTCGACTAAGTTTGATTTTCCTTAGGTGGAGCAGAATTTTGGGTTTCACAAATATAACATTGTGAGAAATTTTTTCCTACTGGTTTAAATTCATTAATAACTTTAAATCACCTACGATTTTTTCTCCAAATTCACAAGGTACTATGCCATCAGCTGTAATTATACGACCCAGATATACCATTTTATCTTGTAAGAAGTGGCATTTCAGTGTAGGATGGTGAATAGTATGCCCGGCTCACTAAACGTTAAATTTAATTCTGCTTTCAATTTCGGCAAATGTGCGAAAGTACTGATCTGGCTCTAAAAAATTTAGGCTTATTCTTGCATGGATGCATACATAACGAGTAGAGCGCAGGGGGTTCGTGTTACCTTCCTTGTTATCTACCTTGTTGACCTTCTGAAAATTCAATTACCATCCACACATTTGATGCCAAGTTAAGATCTCTTGGAAATCTGCTCCTTTCGCATCTCTGTTAATATTCCATGGAATAAGAAACAGGGAAGTTCTTGGTACGCAGCTTTGAATCCTGACCAGTGCGTCATTTCGGTTACGCGTGTTTCAATTGTTTGTTACAAATATAAGAAGCAAATGTCATAGATAATTTAGAAAACAAATTAAAAATTCATATACTTTGTTTGGCCACATTTAATCCTAAATTCTTCAAAATAGAAGAGAAAAAGTTATCATAAAAAGAAACTTAAAAATACTTTTTTTGTGTAGAAATATATAAAGCAAATGTAATGACAATTTTTGCTAAACCATAAACCTTAAAAATAAAAAGGAAGAATTGAACTAAAATTAAATCCTTGACTGTTGAAACGTCAATTTAAAAAAAAAAAAATAAATAAATATGTGTTAGGTTGTGAGGATAGACTACAGGGTTTGTTGGCACCAACTTCGCGGTCGCCCATGTAAAATCATGGGCTGATGGAGACTACACGTGAAGCTGGGTATAAAATGAGCTTAGGCATAAAACCGCTATATCCGGAAAGTAAGTTTCAACTGTTCGTTGCTCCCATAACGATTTTAGCAGGCCTTTCTTTACTCTAAACATGTGTGGAGGGTCTGTGCGATAAAAATTGAAACCCTTTCATTACATCCGAGCGAGCTTACTAATGACACGTGTATTCATCCGTTTACAGCCCTTACCCTTTTCGACGTTTTTAACATAAATAATTTGTGTTCATTACACAACAGGGAACAAAATATTTCGATTAAATACAATTCTTTGTTACACAAAAGTGGTTGGAACCGAAAAGCAAACAAGCTTGACATAAGGGGCAACGTTTGTTCAGAAGTTGACAAACACAAGGGCTATGTAAAACTAGGCCACTGAAAAGTGAGGACAACGGAAAACCTTGCAGATTGATACTAATACAATCTGTGATTCGAAAACTTAAAACACAAACTGAAAGTCGGTTCCTTTTTTTTACACAACTTCATTTAGCCAGAGTACGGAGCGCTCTTTAGAAAGGCAAGTGCAGTTTTTTTCTCTTCTTTCTTTTTAGTTGCTTGTACATATCTATGTATGAACATTATTTTTTATGTACATACTCTTTGCTGTAAAGATACAGTTTAACGTAGATATGTGAAAACGGAACGAACTAACACGAAGCACTTCAGCGCAAATACGTTCATTCGTAGGCTTATTTAAGTATTAATCCTTTTTTTTTTTCGTCCTCTCAACTTGACTAGCCAAGCTAAAAATTATGAAAGATAAGTTTTAATAATATGAAAACTCTTTTGAGTCGACCATCATCTTAAACTAGACTTGACACTCGTTCTCGCCAGAAATACAAGTACAAAGTACATTTACGGAAACTAAAAATGAAGGGTATTGTATAGAGATGTTAGGCTCCTAGCAATATCACTATAATTCATAGGCCGAACAGGAGCAACAGCAGTTTATGGAAAAGATACTGTTCACTTCGTGGCTCAGCAATATGCCAACAATTATCCATTTCAACCGTGGCATTCAAAGGGACATATTAATACGATGTAAATCCTCAAGTAATACAAACTGATTATTGAAAAATAACACACCAACAAAACGCCCATTCAAACTAAAAAAATGATTAAGCTGAAATAAGCAAAAATTATTTTTCATCACAATTTTAGCAAGATTTTCAACTGATTTATTGTTTTTTTATACTGCAGTTCTCTGGCTCCTCTTTATGCCTAGTGAAACGATTAAATTCAAAGTTCCACAATAGACCGTCAAGAGAGCTTATTAATTACTTTCTTCCTACTGAATGTGCAATTACATCAGCTGTCCTTTACTTGGAACCAATACGGATTGTTTTATCTGCCCTCCGTGATCAAATCAGCAGGAATCTTAATGTACGCAGATGATTTAAAATCCTTCGTCTAGTTAAGTTTAGAACCGGACTCGACTCTTCTGCTGTGTGATTTAAAATTTTGATTGCATTTCTTCTATGTACAGCTGTTGACCATCTGGGCAATGTTATGCATCTGATAGTGACGGCCAATTTCGATTCGCGTCGTACATGGTTCGCCCTGCATAAAATAAAAAATTGTTCACAAAAAATAAAGCAGCTTCCAACGAATAAAAGCAAAACATAGTGTAAGGAAGCAGACTGCCTTACACATTCCAAACGTTAGAGTTCAATGTAATTCAAACATAAATAAATATCACCTAACCTATATGCAACTGTAATTAAGCTAACTAAGTTCTTACATTTAAACCTCTAGTCGTGATATCGTCACTCAAAATGGTAATGCAACGCTGCGTTACCTCGTTTTGCAGCTTTATATAAGTACTATTGTAGCTTTCTGTAATTCACCCTCTCAAGTAAATGTTAGCATGTAAGTGTTAGAGTAAGTAAACACACCTCGCATTGAAAGCTGTAGAAATCAACGCATTGGTGTGGCAGCCAACAATCATAAAAGCAGTACACAAACAACGATCTTTCGTTTAGTTGTTCAGCAGCAGTCGAGCTAACAGGTAAATCAAGAGCCCCTTAAGTAGCAGTAGTTTGTAGGCCAGTCCGTCCGGAACGAGGTCCTTAAGATAACAGTGTGCTCTTGCATCATTATCGTACAGGCTCTCGTCCCGAAGGGAAAGCCTTGCAAAACCTCATAGTCCTTTACTTTCGGAACGGGGTCCTTAAGGTAACAGACGTGTTCCCGCGTCACCACTTTATGGGCTTGCGGCCCAAAAGCACACCTTAGGAACCTTGAACCTTTAGGGACCCAGAAGACTGCTTGCTTAACCACTAAAAATTAACTTAACTAAATCTTACACGCAACAGTTTCATTGGCGCAACGCAGTCACACGCGGATCACATTTCTTCAGTAGAAAGAAAACGATGCTGCCCACTAAAAACATGTTGGTTTTTTTGTTTCTCTACGAAGTAATTTCGCAAATAGGGCCACTTTGTACTCTTCTTGAATTCCGCCATATATTTGCTTTAGTACGAAAATACGCTGGACAGCCCTGAGCGAAACCCTAACTATAAATTGACCCCCGTTAAAATTGCTTTAAATATATATTGAGCCATAAAATATATAATAGTTTATTCTTTCTATCGTAGTGTGCTTATACAGAAAGTACTATAATATAATCATACTTAGCTCCATAGTTACCACATTCCTTGTCATTAGTGTTGGGACCCGCCCAGCAGTGTATCATATTTCTACTTTCTGGAGTGTAATCATCTAAGTACTCAGTCGCCATGATTATCGCCTTTTTTTTTGGAAGACAATTGATTATCGCCAAAAGGTGAATCATCTGGCATTGTTCCCAACTTTCCAATACCTTTTGTCAGACTTTTCATTAAAATGCAGTAATAACTGAAGGTGGCGTAAGACCTCATATAAGAGCGAAATAGACGTTTGTTTGTTCTGTATGAACAAATGACCTTTGGTAAACAATAATAATCATAGAAAATAAGATGAAAAGAACTATAAATTTTGTGTTAAGCCATAAAATAATAAACGAATTTGAACGTTAAAACAATCATAATCAATTTACAAGGAAATTACATTTAACTGCCAGTATGTAAAAAGTTTTTTTCAATCAAAAAAGGCAGTAATAATTTTTCAACAGAAAGAAATTGCAAAAATTTGCTTTTTGCTAATAACATTTTTGGTTAGAAAAGGTAAAAATTGCAAAAGTTATTGTGAAAATTCTTATTAAACGTTAACCTTCAATTTACTACGAAGTTAAATTCATGTCGAAAAACACAAGAGAAGAATCAATAGCTCTAGACAAAGTGTACAGCATCCGTATTTATCCAATACAATTACAATTGTGATGTCATCAACTATATACAGTATCTTTATCATCTATAATAGCAATTGCATCAACAACATAACAACAACACACAAGCGGTATGTTGAGGTTTTCATTGTATTTATTTTAAGGATTAAGCATGCATATGTACAATTTGTTTAGTACTTAAGTAATCATATATCATATATATGCTATATATTTAACCTATTTGACCATATATATGCTATATATTTAACCTGTTTCCTTTTAGTTAATTTATAGACTTCAATATTGTTTTTTTTGTTATGAAAAGGCAGATAAATTAAAAACAAAAGAAAAAGATAAAAAACGTATTGACGTTTTTTTCTTATATGACAGCATAGCAGGTTTGACCGTCATCGGACAAACTTCGGGGTCTCCCATTGCAAATCATGGGCCGAAGGAGACCGGGTAGGGTGCAAAGTGGCCCACCGCTTATGATCTGTTCGTTCGGTAAGTGGCCTTCGTCCGTCCGCTAAATCCTGTAAGGGTAAACACGTGTATTTCTTTTAGATGTAAGCGTCTGTGGAGTGTCCGAGGGTCCGTCCTCTCCCTTATCCCCAAACTAGCTAGCTCAGCAAAGACACCTGCGACAGATCTGACATAACTCTGACTGCACTTTTAGCGACAATCACGATCAAACTTAAATGGTCAGATTTTAATGGTGACTGTAGCCTACTTTATAACCGCCCGCATATAATAAAAGCATACGCAGGAATACTTGGGGGTAATCAACGCTGGTATGAGAGGCGATCTGAGGAGTACATATATACCACCGGCGTTGCGCTGAGCGAGTAAAATTGTGAAAATATGGGTTGGTGTATACAAACGTATTTACAGTTTTTGAACATTTTTCTAGGTCGCTGGGGAATTCTACAAGGAGAGCGAAGAGCTGCTACAGCCCAAAGATGCTGGGAAGCATCATTGCACAACATTTTCGTCCACTGCAAAGTGCAAGCAGATGATTTGAATACTCCAGCTTTCTAGGCAAGCTATAAAGATGATGGTGTCGGTGTTTGTATGGAAGTGCCACAATTAAGGCAGTGCGGTGTCTAAGTTACAGGATTGCTGCAACTAAATTTACGAACATAACAATCTTAAATATAAAAATAATCTTTAAATAAGTAAAACTCACAAAAATTGACATAAAAATAAATAAATACTGAAAGTAAAACTTTTTTATATAAGGGATCTCGTTTTTATTTGTTCATAAATGAGCATGAAAGAAAAGATTTGGCATACAGGAACAGAAGAGAAAATTTAATATAGTGATGAGGAAGACATCATTTATATGAGGTAATCATTAACAATGTATTATAACTGTTAACATTCATTTTTCATTCTGTACAAAAGAATATAAAGCAGTTAACTTTTTCTGCAATGAAAATTTAGATACTGGATTTAACTTTGTTAGTTTTTTCAGTTGGGGTACATAATTTGTTATTCATTTAACTTTGCATGTTTACTATTGTTTACCGTAGGTAGCTTGTTTATACAAAACAAATAAACGTCAATTTGGCTCTCATTTTTTACGTTCCCTTAATTAATAATGGAAAATTTGAGAGAAAGTATTGTGGTATTTGATTAACCTCTTGGCGATAATCAATTGCCTCCTAAAAAAGCATGCGATAATCACGCCGGTGATCGCCTACTTAGATGATTACCTGTATATGGAAATATGTTGTTATTCGGAAGTAGCGAATCGGCATTATTTTCCCAAAATTAAAGTTATTAGAAGTAAACTGTAAATTAACATTTTTTGGTAAAAACACACGAACATGTAGTTCGCTACAGTAAGAACACTAAAATTTGTATATAAAGCTTATTTCAGAGGAGCAACGCTCCAGCAGTTAAATAGCCAACGCTTACGACCGGGTAAGCGGGCAACTTTACTTCTAGAGCAGATTGCCGCCGATAGAGTCGGCAATAGATGTCTGTGCTACTAGGGAATACATGTTAAAATATAAAAAAAAAGAAAAGCAAACAAATTATTATTCCAGTAAAAAAGGAAATGAAATAACTTCAACGACTCAAGTCAAGCAAAACCTCGTTAACATTTTGTTTTTTTTATACGGAAGGAGACGAAGTCATAAGACAGCATATTATTAAAAATTAACATTTGGTGAGGTTTGCTTATGTCATTTAAACGTTTTGATATATTTTGTATAATTTTTTTGTGTAAAAGACACGCATTCTACCTCATTCTTCTTGTAGTTATTGTTCAAATCTTGGACAGAAGAGATTGACTATTTTGCACACGGCGGTCTAATTCATCCAGTTTATATTTTTGATAGTGTTCCCCTCTCAGTGGTGAGAGGGGAACAGGGTTATATTAGAAGCAGTCATATAAGAGCAATTCTTGAATCAAACAGGACTTACGCTTGAGGTCGTTGTCTTGGTAGAGTTTCAATGTTTCCAAAATACGAAGTTTATCCGTACTTTCTTTCAAATTTTTTTCAACATCATATTTTTATTTTTTTTCAGTAACCTATATCATTTAATAGGCTTGTCCTTCTACTACATTTTTCACAATTCAAGTTTATTTGAGCATGAGACAATTTGTGGGATTTTGCTCATGACTCATAAGTTATAAAAGATACAAGTCTGAAATCTTCTAAATTTATTCTATTACAGTATGCGTGTTCAAATGGGACAAAATCGCCTACAAACTGTTATAAAACATCTAATTTTAATTTTCTTCACCTTTTTAACGTTTTCTACAAACAAAACAGAATGTTAAAATTTTTTCTGTACATTAAGATACGTTGTCTTTAATTGGGAAAAATGGAACGTGCATACTCATTATTACAAGGTCTTAAAACTCCGTTATTTTATATATGCATGTTTTCTTACGCATTATTCTTAAGTTGCAGGTGAACAATGTATAGATTTCCTTAGTCCCAACACATTGTATTTCACATTGTATAGATCCCCTTAGTCCCAAAACTGGAAATAGAGGACCACGCCCATCGCAAGCAAATGAATTCAATTCAAACTTTTAAAACTTCTAAATAATGACAAAGTAATAATAGCTTGATAAAATGTATGGTGGTAAGTATGTCTTATGTAGCTTTATTGACACAATTTTTTTTCTTTTCTTTTCTAATTTTGATGGCACCTTCGACTACTGAGTTCGGCATGAAATCAACTATTACCGTTTCGTTATTCTTTCAAAGTTTTAAATGTTTTGATTTAGGAACAAAAGTTATTTCCAAACTTCATTATTGTTTGGTTACAATTGTCCGCGTTTATTTAATTCACATGTATTGATGTGAACAAATCTGTATCCTTAATTTCTAGTTTTTGCTTTTTTACCAAATTCTTACATGGAAATATACTCTTATTTGAATAAAATCAATTATATATATTTAATTTTCTAACATACTAATCTTACAATAAATAATTCTGAGCTCTTTTTATTTTTTTACTACAATTTCTTTGGTAACTACAGAAAAATGGCTGGAATTCGACAGTTATTTGTTCTTTTGATATATTTTAGCAACATTTTTTGTTGCTTTATGCCACGTTTTTCATTTTGTATTTTTCCTCTTTTATTTGTAAAATCTACGTAATACTTGCATAAAAACTAATTTACAAATATTCTTTCGCATCGTTTTAATATTTTTTGTTTCTAGGCGTATTCGTTTCGATATCCATCCCGCTTTCTCTTTCTCTCAATGTGCGCACATAAATTTATATATCATTTCTTAATACTTGAGACATACTTTCGTTAGCCTCTGAACACAATTGCTTAAATGAATTTTGGGTTTTTATCGATCGACAAAAGTAAACGCTTGTTAAGGTCAGTCCGTTGTCCAACCTTAAAAATTTATTTTACTATTTTTTGCTACTCGGCAATACATATTGCAATATAAAAAAAAAAAAAATCCTTATTCCCATAAATTAGAAAATGTTTCTTTTTGTGCAGATCTGAGAAGGAAGAGGTTAAGTGTTTTCGCACACGGCGGTCTAAGTCATGCCACATATTTTTGATAACGTTCATGCCTGCTGAGTGGGAAAGAATATGAAGCACTCTGGGGCAGTTATATAAGAACCATTTGTAACATAAAGGGTGACTTATGCTTACGTCGTCGTCTTGGAAGATTTTGAATAATTCCAATATAGCAAATTTGTCCCCACTTTCTTTCAAATTTTCCGTTAATATCCTTAAAAAAATCGTTCTTATTGAAAAGGATATAAAAATAGGCTAGAAGAAAAATGGATAGAAGTATAGAATAAAAGACCTATTTCCTACACAAGAAAAATATGTCAAAACGCTTAAATGACGTTATTAAGCACACGTTAATCACACGTTAATCACACGTTAGTTTTTAATAATACCCTGCATCTTTTCTTCGTGCGTTTCTTATGTAAAAAACCAAATATTAGTTACGCTACGTTTTTTGAGTTGCTGAGATTATTTAATTTTCTTGTCTACTAGAATTATGATTTTTTTTTTTTTATATAATTTAATATTCCCTTGCAGTACGAAATAGTGAAATAAATTTTTATATTTGGATAATGGACTAGGTCTAACAAGCCTTTATTTTTGCACGAGTGAAAAAATTCAATATTAATGAGGATCGCCGTAAGTATGTTTATAACAAGTTAGAAAGGGTATGTGTATATTTGCATTCAATTCACTCTTAGAAGTCAATATTAGACTAATTAATATTAAAAACTAGTGTAAAATATATAAAGAGAAATAAAGAAAACAAAACATAATTAATGTATAAATAAATAGGAAAAAAAACAGAAAAAAATCATGTACACAACTAGCAAAGAGACACACCCACAACCAAAACAGAACCAAATTGCCAGTGAACCATTAGGCCATTGCGAACATGGAAAAGCTTGGCAACCAATACAGTAAACAACACCAATTAATTTTCGAATCAAAGTAAGATATTAAGTTTAACAGTTAGTTTAAATTCGACACAGGTAAATCAGGCGTGTTAAGCAAAATTGTGTTGACAGAATTTATAGAATACGATATTGAGATCAAGTGATAGACATGATTTAGGTTTCTGCAAACAAATCTCAACGTTGACTCAACTTAATAAACGCGAACTGCCTAAAGAGCTGTTAGGGACATTAAATTCTATCTCTCCAACGGTGTGGGCGAATCGATAGTACCATTAATTATCTTAATTAAGAAGGAGACACCAGGAATAAATCTCCGTTTCTCAAGTGACAGTAAGGATAACAGAAACAACCTATTTTCATAAGGAGGCAAGGAGACAAGCGGCTCCCAAACCAAATTCCTAAAGGCAAACACCAAGAATTGCTTCTCAAATGATTCAATTGAATCTACATAGTACTTATAGGAACAAGACCACACAACCGAGGCATACTCAAGTATTGGTCTAAGTAAGCACATACATAGCTCTTTTGTAGTTTAAGCGTCTATCAGCCCTTTGGATCACCTTTTTATGAAATCAAGGGCGGATCAAGCTTTCCTTGAAGAGAGCTCAATGTGTAATTTAAAAAGTAATGTTTTGTCGAATAGAACAACATTTCCAACTTGTGTGAGTCAATGAAGTACTCATTATTGAATGACTTCCTCCTTCAGAAAGAAAGCTTTTTGCATTTTTTTACATTTTCAAAATTTAACGCTCTATTAAAAATATACATACATGCAGTTATAGAAAAGGAAACCTTTCAATACGTTTGGCGGAAAGAGTTGAATAACAAAACAGTCGCAGTAATTTTTTTGAATAATGGATAGTATACGTCGCACGTACTTTAGTTTGTTTTTATTGTGTTCCGTTCACTCTCATTACCAGTATAAGCAATAATTCTGTTAAAGGTTTCATACTATGACTAATATTACAGCAAATGTTTATGTAGCGTAAAAATATAGAATTCTGTAGCCATTATTCGACGGCGTGTCTTATGAGAACCGTTGGAATAATTAAAAGTTGTTGGCTTCGTGTACAATTAAAGCTCTTTGATTTATTCAAACAAACTGCATATGTACAAATAAATTCATTGAAAGGATAACAAAATAATTTGTTGATATAAATTGTGCATGATATCTTTGCCTAGTGTTCGGTGCATGTATTTTTTACCTAAACTGCAACTCTGCTCTCACCTCCTACTTTTTTAAAATGAGCTTATGTAAAAGCGACGCTGAACGTCGTTCTTAGTTGATCATGTGCCTCGAGTTCAACTCCCATACTGCTTGAAGTGCGTCCAAAGGCGTCATTTATGCATGCAGTAACAGCCTTATTAAAGTAAGGAGTGCTACGGAGGTGTGACACTAAAATGTCCTGAACCAAACTCTGTAGGAACAATTTGCGTCCTAGTTTTAATTTTGAACTATTACACATACAATACAGACAATTGGCCTTCACTGCTACTGCACACAGGCCAATTAAATTCGAATATAAGACAATTGGCTACCGATTAGTTTTACGTCTTACAGAAAATGAATGGGCCCTTTATTTACATCAATTTCTGCATGTCGATAATATAAAGATAGCATTATTTTTTTGGATAAAGGGAGATGAATAACTTATTAACGCAATATGATTTTAAAGCCAAGTGAATTGCTTTCTACTTGTCCTGAAAATATGTGTGTAATGCATCTGTTAATTTTCCGTAGAGCTTTACGGCACGCCCAGCCTATTTTCAATGGACATTGTGCTAATTCGTAACATGTAAAGTGTGATAGAAATTAGAGTATGACACTGCAGTTATTGTTTGGTAAAGGATTCTTTTCAATGGGTAACAATTGCTGCTGTCGTATATCCAAAGAATTGTAATCCTTTAATTATCCGGTTTTGACAGATGCAAAGGAACTAGTTGCTCATGAATTGCTAAAATTTATCTAGATATGCTTAATACATATATTTTGTTTACTTCCCACGAACCTCTCCCGGTCTGCGAACAAGCACGCTCCATCAAGTTGGTACCGAATTAAATTTCTCAATTTCACTCAGCGTAGAAGAAACTGTTCCCTTATTTAGGGTCGCATTTATATAAAATAAAAACAGGTATTTAAATAAAATCTGCAAGGGGATAGCCT